TGGGCCAAGTGTTAGTTTTGGGGGTGTTTTACTATAAACTAATGACTGATTGTGCCCCTGGTGTAGTCGGACCTGGAACAGAACGCGAATATAATCTCGGATCTCAAGGTTGCAGTCAAGAATATTGTGAGTGCTAACAAGAAGAACAAGATTAAAACAGGTCAGTTATTCATCTTTTCTTTTTGAAAATATTACAATTTCAATAAGCAATCAATATTTTGACGCATGAATTTTATTCGAGACAAAAATTATCGTGAATAAACCTTTAGTACATAACCATAAAATACCGTACAATTATTATTTTTTTAAAAACGACATTTTTAACAACATTTTATCACATGGTTATCCAATATCCATGTAAGTAACTTTATTAATTGTACAGGAGAAGTTCATGTGAATAAAACCCTTGCCTCCGTGAACAGATTAGATGGAGTATTTGCCCAGACCCAACCCTCGACCTGTGATATTCAGATGGAAAAGGTGAGTACTAGCTCAAGCTCAGGGTTGTACATTTTCTGGAACTATCCCCCCAACCCTGTATATGTCATGTAATAGATTTTTGTGCGGAGGAAAAAAGAGAAAATATATCATTTACTCGTAAAAAAATTAGAATGAATGAAAATTTAAACCCATGAAGGATTCAATGATAACCCCAATTAAGGGGTTCGCCCAAGGACATCGAACATCATACTTATCCTAGAGAGGGAGTATGGGGGGGGGGGNGGGAATAGCTTCTTACATTTTACCCTGCTGAAGACCCATAATCCTTTTAATAATACAATAATTTTGTTTAGGTTTATGATAAATTAGAATTTGACAATCCCGATGGCGGAGTCTGGAAGCAAGGCTGGGATATTAACTATAAAGAGGATCAATGGGATAATGATCCATTACAGGTAAACAATTCGGCTCCTTGCATCAGGGCAAATATTTTCTTGGAAAATTTTATTTTTTTTTCTCACACCCCCTTCTCTTTTTTTTCTCCAGATTTGTTTGTGCTGAGCGTTGAATATTTTATAGGTTTTCATTCTCTGAAACAGGGAAAACAAATTAAATTTTTATTTTAATTTTTAACTATTATTTATAAAAAAAAAACTGTCCAGTTTCCTCAGAGCACTGTAAATTCTCTGAGGCTGTCCTAGAGAACGATTTTTGGCCCCCCCCCCCCCCCCCTACTATCAATTTTGTACATGACTCGTAATTTTAAGTTATTTTGCATTATTTTATGGTTAGGTTAGGTTAAGACACTTTCTGGGCCGAGCGCTGCGGCTAGGACAGGCTAAGGGGCCGAGCGCTGCGGCCACGGGGTTAAGACACTTTCTGGGCCGAGCGCTGCGGCTAGGACAGGCTAAGGGGCCGAGCGCTGCGGCCACGGGTTAGGCTAAGTTAAGACACTTTCTGGGCCGAGCGCTGCGGCTAGGATAGGCTAGGGGGCCGAGTGCTGCGGCCACATGTCTTATATTTAAGATCCATGTACAAAATTGATAGAACGGGGGGGGGGGGGGTCCAAAAATCGTTCTCTAGGAAATTACCAATTCTCCCCCTATCTTGCAACCGGAACCAAGGGGCAAAATGTTAACAAAAATTATAAAAATTTGAATTTTGAAATACAAATCTCAACTTCTCAAGAAGATTTGTCAAGGACAGGGACTAAGAATTCGTTATCTCTTATTTGGCTAAACTCACCTGATAATGGAATCCATTTTCCCTGGCCGGGACAAAGTGTCACTGATGTTTTCACTTTTGCAATTTTTAAACCTTTGTCAGTGATTACATTAATCCCCCCTTCCCCTTTTGACTACTTTTCTCCCCTTCATCCATCCAACTCTAATCAAAGGTCGATTGAGTTGAGATTTTAGTGAATCAAACAACTGAAACTTTAAAACTATTTTTTTTCTTGAAGTAAGATGAAAATAAAGTATCAAAAAGTTTTTTAAAAACTTGCATTTTTTCCCCTTTTTTTCATTTTTACCCACCGATCTTCCATATTCTTTTATTTACACCCCTGAAATTTTTAACCACCTCAAATCATTATTATTATTATTATTGTTATGTAAATATATATATTTCCTAGGTGTTCATTGTTCCGCATTCTCACAACGATCCTGGATGGATTAAAACATTTGAAAGTTATTACAAAGATCAAACTAATAAGGTGAGGTTTTTTAAACGGTCTGTCCTCGTTATTTCAAGTGACCCTTCATTCAGGTAGGGGCATGCCTGATTCAGAAAGGTACTCTTTTAACCTTTACCTGATAAATAATGAAAAAGCTTTTAAGGGTGCTGCAACTTTAATATGATACAACCTACTTGATTCTTACCGAATTAAATAAATATATAAGTTTCTTGATGAATTCGAAATATATTAAAAACAAAAGGAACAAATAAGAGAATTATTTATTTATAAAAAAAACAGAGGCAATCCAATATACGTGTATATTTTTGTAAAACAACACAAATATGATTATAAAAATGTAACAGGGGTGTTTATAAATACAAATTTTTTATTCTTTCCCCCCTCAATTTTTTTTTTGATTTCCTTCCCCAAGTTCGAGAACTAAAAAGACATCATTTTTTAATATTTATATTGCAGTGCATAATAATCCCTAAAATCATGCATTTTAAAAAGCGTAAATGGCACCACAGGCAATTTTTTTTAAATTTTGGGTAATGGTAGGGTGACAATGACATAAAAGGTTGGGATTGATTATTTGTTCTTGGAATTCATTTGAGAGAATTTGTGAAATTTTTTTTAGTAATTTTGACTTCTTTGAAAAATTATTTATTGATGAGTATTCTTTTATCATATTTTTAACACGTTTTATTTTGCTCCAATATAACTATTCGGTAAAATTGTTGATGAAAAACTCTCTGATTTTAGATAAAGTTATCTAGTTATGTAGAGGTAAAGAGCTCCCTTCCCTTCCCTATATTCCCCTTTCCTTCTTTTCTTTATCTGCCAACCTTCCATATATTCTCTACCTTCCCCTTCCCTGCGTTCTATTTCCCTATCTACCCTACCTTCCTCTTACCTTCCCCTTCTAATTCCATTCCCTGTCTCTTCTTTCGTAGTTACCTATATTCCTCTTTCTCTCTCAACCTTCTCCTTTCCCTCCCAACTTTCTCCTTTCCCTCCCAACCTTCTCCTTTCACTCTCAACCTTCTCCTTTCCCTCCCAACCTTCTCCTTTCCCTCTCAACCTTCCCCGTCCCTACTTTTCCTCTTTCGTACCTATCTCTTCCCTACCTATCTTCTTCCCTACCTATCTCCTTCCCTACCTATCTCCTTCCCTACCTATCTCCTTCCCTACCTATCTCCTTCCTACCAATCCACTTACATCTCTTCCCTCTCCCTATGTTTCCCTCTTCCCAATCCTTCCCTTTTTTCCGCAGTTACCCTTCCTTTTTCCTTTGCTTCTTTCTTCCCCTTTTTCTTGCATTTCCCCCCTCCTTTTTCCCCCTTTTCTTTCCTCTTTTTTTTTCCCTTTTACGTTCCCCTTCTCCTTCCCCTTTTCTTTCCCCTTTCCTTTCCTTTTTTCCTTCCCTTCCCCTCCTCTTGGGTATTTGATTTCTTTCTCCCCTTTCTTTATGGGTGTATAAAGAATTGTATACACCCTGAAATGCAACTTTAAGAATGTAAGTTGTTTTTAAACATTTAACATGAGATTATCCATAACGTTAGCTCAATAATAACTTTCGAAAATGTTTTTCTTATAAAAAATAAAAATATTTTGCTCCAGATTTTGTCGATGATGGTGAAGAAACTAGTTGAGTTTCCTACAATGAAGTTTATTTGGGCGGAAATATCTTACCTTTCTCTGTGGTGGGCGGAGCAAAATCCAGAGGTAAGATAAACTTGGCGGAGTAGAATACAGAGGTAGAATAAACTTGGCGGAGTAGAATACAGAAGTAGGATAAACTTGGCGGAGTAGAATACAGAGGTAGGATAAACTTGGCGGAGTAGAATACAGAGGTAGGATAAACTTGACGGAATAGAATACAGAGGTAGAATAAACTTGATGGAGTAGAAAACAGAGGTAGGATAAACTTGACGGTGTAGAATACAGATGTAGCATATACTTGACGTCAGTAAAATTCAGAGGTAGGATAAACTTGATGGAGTAGAATACAGAGGTAGAGTAAACTAGACGGAGTAAAATACAGAGGTAAGATAAACTTGACGGAGTAGAATAAATAGGTAGGATAAACTTGACCGAGTAGAATACTATGGTAGGATAATCTTGACAGAGTAGAATACAGAGGTAGGATAAACTTCACTGAGTAGAATACAGAGGTAGGATAAACTTGACGGAGTAGAATACAGAGGTAGGATAAACTTCCCGGAGTAGAATACAGAGGTAGAATAAGCTTGACGGAGTAGAATACAGAGGTAGGATAAACTTGACGGGAGTAGAATACAAAGGTAGGATAAACTTGACAGAGTAGAATACAGAGGTAGAATAAACTTGACGGAGTAGAATATAGAGGTAGGATAAACTTGACGGAATAGAATACAGAGGTAGGATAAACTTGACGGAGTAGAATACAGAGGTAGGATAAACTTGACGGAGTAGAATACTAAGGTAGGATAAACTTGACAGAGTAGAATACAGAGGTAGAATAAACTTGACGGAGTAGAATATAGAGGTAGGATAAACTTGACGGAGTAGAATACAAAGGTAGGATAAACTTGACAGAGTAGAATACAGAGGTAGAATAAACTTGACGGAATAGAATACAGAGGTAGGATAAACTAGACGGAGTAGAATACAGAGGTAGGATAAACTTGACGGAGTAGAATACAGAGGTAGAATAAACTAGACTGAGTACAATACAGAGGTAGAATAAACTTGACGGAATAGAATACAGAGTTAGGATAAAGTGGATGAAGTATAATACAGAGGTAGGAAAAGATGGCAGAGCAGAATACAGAATATAACTATACTAGGTGCGAAGTACAGTCCATCGTCTGCTAGAAGAGGAGAGGTTGGAGATTGTTACTGGAGGCTGGGTTATGCCAGACGAGGCCAGTACTCATTATACAGCTATGCTGGAGCAGCTTATTCATGGTGAACAAACAGCACTACTCTAAAGTGGGAAGAGGGATTTTCGTTGTTCTCTGGGGAAAAAAGAATATTTGACATCAACTAGGAAGTTTTATATCCATTTTTTGATACTTTTAAATTTCATGTATTTTCCCCAATGCAAAAAGAAAAAACACCCGTGAAAAAAGGATTGGAAGGGAGTGGGGGGGGGGGTAGAAGGGCCTTATAAGAATACAAACATACCTCTGGTATATATTTTCTAAGTAATGGATTATGAAAAAAAAGATACGTGAATTAGTCTTAACTTTGCATAAACACTTTTATTTTATGTTAATATTAATAATGCTTTCTCGTCTTCTTTTCTATTGGTTTTTATCAATGTTATTTGGCAGTTCATATTAAAAATTTCCCAGTGCACTATAAAAGAAAGGTCTACGCATTTTTCTCGTTTTTCAGAAAATTTCAATCTGGGGTGGAATTTTAATAATTGTAGAGAGAATGCGATTGCGATACTATCTACCGCCGGTTCAAATCCTGAATTACCGATTCAAATTTAATGATTTATGATGATTTTAATAGTTGATTCAGGATTTCAACCGTCGCGGTAGGTAGTTCCGCAACCTCTCCAATCAATAACAAAAAATCAAATAAAACGTTTTTTTTGTAATTTTTCTCTTTAAAAGTATTTTGTTTATTCAGGACATGAGTGGTGTCATCAGAATCTTCAAGGTTACCAACCTAACAGTGGTTGGTCGATAGATCCTTTTGGAATGTCTCCAACTATGAGCTATATTCTCAAAAGGAACAACAACTGCACCGGCAAAAATATATTTTTTACCTCATAATGAAGAAAATTCTGTCTCATGATGTGTCTCAAAGTCCCGCCTTCTCTACATTTTTGATTATTCTATTTCTGGGGAACGAATCAGTGAATTCTTGTTTGTCGGACGAAATTTTGTCCTTGGTTTCTTGATCTTTCAGTTCAAAGACATTATCACAGCTTCAAAGTGCTCAAAAGATAAAATAAATAAAAGATTTTCTATAAATAATTTTATATCCTCTAGACTAGAGTTTATACATTACCTTAAAGGGATGTAGTGTTCCAGGTTCCTTGTTCCAAAAATCAGTGTTTTAGTATATTTTCAAATTGGTGAACAATCCCTTTAATAAGCTTTAAATACCTTGCTGACGGTGTAATTAAATTGTTTGATTAGAGCTGGCCTGGATAATATGCTTATACAGAGAACACATTACTCGGTCAAAAAGAAACTAGCAAAGGTTTGGTTTTTTAAATTAAAAATCTTTATTTTTCAAAACCTTCCAACCAACATTATTTTTCTAGTCAAAAATGGAAAACTAATTTAAACAAATTAAGAGAAATTTGAAAAAATACCGGGAATAATCAATTATATTTTTCAGGACAAAAATCTTGAGTTTAATTGGCGTCAGCACTGGGATCATAACTCCACTAGTGATATGTTCTGCCACATGATGCCGTTCTACAGGTACAGGGACCAGGAATTCAATTATAGGACAGTCCGAAAATTATACTAAATTATTTCAGTTACGATGTTCCGCACACATGTGGACCTGATCCCAAGATTTGCTGCCAGTTTGATTTCCTCAGATTACCAGGTATCTGGTATATACTAGAATATACCTTGGTGCAGAGAGTAATACGTTTCGTGCCCCCCCCCCCTTTTAAAAAATAAGAAATTCAATATAATGATGAAAAAGAAATAATTGATTCTTACATTTTGACAAATTGGCAAATTTCTTAACATCTAATTAGTTTACTGTAGAATTTTTGTTACATTTTTCATCGTCGCTGTTTGATAGTTTTTAAAAAATCGATTCTCAAAACGTAACCACCCAAAAGGATTATTTTGGAAAGTCAGTTTTGCGTTCAAACTCAGTAACTACACATCATTTAAACGATGTCTCAAATAAATCCTAAACAATTTCTCCACAAAACTCCATCCTAAATTCAACTGCCATACATTGCCAGTCACTCCCTTTAACGGTACCGTTCTGAATCGATGATTAAGTCTCTGGAAGTTACGTTTGCAGTCTTTTTTAAAATTCGAAAACTGTTAAATGTTTACAAACAATATTAAAGACAACTTTATTTTGCAAAAATAAGACATAGCTTTTAAGTTTATCGCGAACTATTTGTATCATTAATGGTTATTACCTCGACACCTGCTCTAAGAATAAATATCTTGTTTCTCCAATAAATTTAGATACATGTTTCCCCCCTGAAATATATTATCCTTCAATTTGCCCAATTGTTTATGGTTTTTATCGTTAAAGGATCTAGTTTTTGGTATATTATATGGATTTGGGAGCAACGTAAATGAATGTCCTGTAAGGGTAAAATGTCTTGTAGAGTTAAAAAAAATAAAGCTTTCAAAAGGTCAAGAGTTAAACGCGAAGAATAAGACTGGAAAGACTATTTGAAACTATAAAAATATGACGATTCCAATGTTAAATTCAGCCCTCTGCCAGTACCTTGAATGTACATCCTTTTAATGGCCTATTTATTGAATTAAAAAAGAAAGAAACAAGTTTTCAGTTGCATGGAATCATGAATAAAATTTGCTTAAATTCCGTACAGTCGCCTCTGAAATCTTATTTTTTGTTGGTAAACCAGTGTCCCGTATATTTTCTCCACGCCCCCGTCGGCGGTCTTGATCTCTAATTTTGGGATTTCAGATGAAACACGATTGATTGATTAATTGATTGGCGGATGTACTTGTCTAATAAGTCGTTTTTTAAAACTATCTGTTAAAGCGTTTTGCGACGCACCCTTCCCTTTTAACAATTATTGCGATCGTAAATGTTGGTCTGAAAATCGCCATTTTTAATCGTCCTCGCATCATCGTGGAGTTTTCTGTTTAAATTGGTGCATTTTCATAATTACATTTTTCCGGGCTAAATTTTTCAACATCGCTGGTCTATCAACCACGGCCTTCTTATAGATATGCTTCTATCTACCGATCTATACTATTCTGGGCCAGCGTACATGTAATTTTGTGGGTCTTTATAGTCGTTATATCTAAGTGGACCTTACATTCTTTTGGGAAATTTTTAAATCTCTGCATGGTGTACTTAAGGTTTCACTCTAACAAATGTTCATTCTGGCTATCGTTCATTCTATGAAAATAATTTGCTCTTATAAAAATTTGAAGTGAATTTCAGGGTTCAAATCAGAAAAGAGCTTTGTTAAATCGTGGGCCCTGGACTAAACAGAACTGATATACAGTAGCTAAAATCTTGTAAATACAACATTGTCTCCTAAGAATTGGGTAGCCTCCTACGCATCTTGATTTGAGATTTCCAAAATGTGGTATGAAGTTTTTGTACCTTAAGAATTGACTGAGATATTGAGATATTTGTTTTAAATTCAAAGTATTAAATATAACCAAGGTTTAGTATCTCCGACTTTATGATACTTTATGATACACTACTTTGACAACTGTTAACTTTACGAAAACCAAAGATAAGTTTATTAGTCCAGGGTCCAATGTCTTACGTACTGCCTAACACCCCAGCTATAAAATTACATCAAACCTTGACTATGATATATTCTTATTATCCATGCTTTAAACCTTTCCTGGGGTCATTTGAGGTGCAACATTACATGTCCGACGTCCGTGCAACTTTAACTTGTTTATATTCTGTAGGAAGTCGAGCAAGTTGCCCCTGGAATGTGCCTCCACGTAAAATATCGGTAAAATTAATTTTTTAATTGGCATTTTTAAAAATGGAATAAGAAATTTTCTTTTTTTTATTTTTTCTCTTTATTTTTTAATGTCTATATTTGACATAATACTTCAGGATTCACTGAGCCAAATGTCTGGTTCTTCAAAAAAAATTATTCCCTCGTTTTAAAGGGACCGTTCACTTATTTGGGTAATTTCAGGGTAAACTAAACAGCCTATTCGCTCTTGATTGGTAATAGTCTTACTTTTCAAAGACAACTGTGGCCGGAGAAAAAGCCGATTTTTCGTTCAGAATTTGAGCTGAAAGGGACGGTCCCTCTCTATAGACACTATTTGATGTTTTTTTCAGTAACAGCAGCCCAATAACATTTAAATTTATTATATTTTAATGTCATTATGTGTTCGTTATTATGAACTATTATATGAAAACTTTTGATATTTGAGTTAGCAAGAAATTTACGTTTTTCGTATTAAAACATGTAAAATATGTATACAAAGACGACGTCTCTACGACAATCAATTAATCATTACTCGTATTTTGGTTCGTAGATTTTGTTCGCGTATGTGCACAACTTTTCATTTGTCATGCCGCGTTCAATTCAGCTTTTTACACAGGCAATACACAATTTTGAATGCGATAAAATAGTTTTATTTTAGAAATAGAAAGTTAATTAACAACAAAAATTAAAAAATAATGACATTTACAATTAACGATCAGATACTACAGTTTAATTTTATATTCGAAATTTATTTTGATTCACAACATACTGAAGAAAACATCAATTAGTGTCTATAGAGAGGGACCGTCCCTTTGCGCTCGAATTCTGAACGAAAAATCGGCTTTTTCTCCGGCCACAGTTGTCTTTGAAAAGTAAGACTATTACCAATCAAGAGCGAATAGGCTGTTTAGTTTACCCTGAAATTACCCAAATAAGTGAACGGTCCCTTTAAATCTCAATTTTTACGGGCTTAAGTACTAGATTTGTGAGAGACAAAGGTTATGTATCTTTCAGGAATTTAGAATTTAATATATTTCTTTATAAACCTCATCCAATATTTTTCTTCTTAATCTTCATCATGAACTTCTTCAGGCTGAGAACGTAGAGTCCAGGTCCTTGATGCTGCTGGACCAGTACAGGAAGAAGTCCACGCTATACCGGTCCAATGTAGTCCTCATTCCTCTTGGAGACGATTTCAGGTTTTTCGATTTATTTTGTTCACACATTAAGCTGCAAGGGTGCAAAACGACTTACAAGGAAAAAACTACTAATCTGCATGGATATAATTTTAAGGACTGAGCAGTTACTTGCCCTTTATTACATGAGTTAAAAAGTACAGTGAATAATATTAGAATATAATAATGGATTATGATTTACAAGCATAAAACTATGACGTAATAAAATCAATCAATTAATCAAATAATACAGTGTTTTAGGGTGGAAAGTGGGGAGGGGGAGAAGGAATGGAATGATCAGTACACTAGCTAATATATATAAATACCCTGCATTAAGGTGGGACGGAGAAAAGGAATGGAATAATCAGTATACTAACTAATATATATAAATACCCTGCATTAAGGTGGGACGGAGAGAAGGAATGGAATAATCAGTATACTAACTAATGTATATATATATACCCTTTATTAAGGTGGGACGGAGAGAAAGAATGGTATGATCAGTATACTAACTAATGTATATATATGTACCCTGTATTAAGGTGGGACGGAGAAAAGGAATGGTATTATCAGTATACTAACTAATGTATATATATACCCTGCATTAAGGTGGTACGGAAAGAAGGAATGGTATGATCAGTATACTAACTAATGTATATATGGATACCCTGTATTAAGGTGGGACGGAGAGAAGGAATGGAATGATCAGTATACTAACTAATGTATATATATACCCTGCATTAAGGTGGTACGGAAAGAAGGAATGGTATGATCAGTATACTAACTAATGTATATATGGATACCCTGTATTAAGGTGGGACGGAGAGAAGGAATGGAATGATCAGTATACTAACTAATGTATATATATACCCTGTATTAAGGTGGGATGGAGAGAAGGAATGGAATGATCAGTATACTAACTAATGTATATATATATACCCTGTATTAAGGTGGGACGGAGAGAAGGAATGGAATGATCAGTATACTAACTAATGTATATATATACCCTGTATTAAGGTGGGACGGAGAGAAGGAATGGAATGATCAGTATACTAACTAATGTATATATACACCCTGTATTAAGGTGGGATGGAGAGAAGGAATGGAATGATCAGTATACTAACTAATGTATATATACACCCTGTATTAAGGTGGGATGGAGAGAAGGAATGGAATGATCAGTATACTAACTAATGTATATATATACCCTGCATTAAGGTGGGACGGAGAGAAGGAATGGTATGATCAGTATACTAACTAATGTATATATATACCCTGTATTAAGGTGGGACGGAGAGAAGGAATGGAATGATCAGTATACTAACTAATGTATATAAATACCCTGCATTAAGGTGGGACAGAGAGAAGGAATGGTATGATCAGTATACTAACTAATGTATATATGGATACCCTGTATTAAGGTGGGATGGAGAGAAGGAATGGAATGATCAGTATACTAACTATCAGATGATTATTGACCATGTCAACTCCAATCCTAGACTCAACGCTAAAATACAGTGGGGAACACTTACAGATTACTTCAAAGCAGGTCCAGTAGAACATGAGTTTATACTTATAAGAACTAAATTAAGTGAGCTAATTTACTAAATTCATTTCGAGTTTTATGTGTGGGTGTAGGACGTCCCTAATATTCGGATATACGTTGATTTAATTTGTTGTGCGAGGGTAGGAAGGCCAACCACAACAACTTCTAGTCCGAGCCACATTCTCCTCATTTTTTCGTCCGAGCCACCTCGAAATCCTCGTCCTTTCAATATTATTTTTTTAAGTGTCTAATCCTTTCAGATAAAACTATTTTTTTAAGAATAAAGCCACGTTAGGACATGACTGAAATATAAAATTTTTGTAAATCGAATATTTTGCTATTTATTTTATATCATGAAGGTTAGCCATTACGGAGGCAGAAGAGATTTTAAATTTACCTGAGTAAAGTTTGACATCATTCTCATGGGTTTGAAGATTCAAACATGATATAATCATTGCAGTACTTTTGCCCATCCATTTTTTATGCCCTAACCTGGCCAGGTTTTTAAGAAATAGTTATATCTTCAAGAATTGGAAACTTTTTAACACAAAATAATCGAAGGACGAGGATTCCGAGGTGGCTCGGACGAGAAAATGAGGAGAATGTGGCTCGGACGAGAAATTGTTGTGGCTGGCCTTCCTCCCCTCGTTGTGCAAACCTTTAAGTCTGCGTATTTTTTTTTTCTGGAACACTGCATTTCTTTAGTTTAATTACGGAAGAGGTTTAGATGGGGCCGGGGGATGGGGAACTAGAGTTTTAAATATGTAATTTAAGAGAGTCAAATTTTTCAATTTTTTGGGGAAGAGGTTTAGAAGGTGTTGGGGGGGGGGGGGGGCAGAAGGTTAATTAATATTTGTCTGCGTGAAACTATAAAAAAGTTAACACGAAACATTTCTGAAAAAATGTATTTGTTGTTTTTTACTAATATTGTTAACTGTGTTCAGTAAGAGCTAAATCCTTGGCTAAAACTGGAGATGAGACACGAATGTTCCCAACCTTGTCCGGTGATTTCTTTACTTATGCAGGCACACACAACAGAGATATGCAGGGGCTATTTTGGGATATTTTACTAAAGGAATTGTTTATATATTTTGATAATGTAGGAGGGACCAAAAAAGATTCTAGGGGATTATTAAACACTCTTTAAATTATAAAATAATCATTCCCCCATAAAATTTTTTTATTGATGTTTTTGCTCTTGGGGAAAATCCAAATTTTTTGAGTAAACATATCTTAAAGAGATAAAAAGCTTTCATGTCATAGTTTTATTTTATTTCCGCTTTAATCCTGTCTGAAATGTGTACTGAAACTAGACCGAGATGATCACTATTGGTCTGGATACTTTACAAGCAGACCTTTCTGGAAATCCATGAATAGGATACTAGAGCACTACCTCAGGTATAACAGTGAGTCCCGGTAAAATAAAATCGAGAGGTCACTGGTCATGGATTCGGAAATGGGTTGTTTACAATGGGACCCAGAGAACTGTTGAAATCTCATGTGTATTTGTATATTATGTTGTTCTACTGGAAGTAGTTTTATCTGTAGTATGAAATCAAGTTATTAAATGAATTGGGTTGTACAGTGTACACTGCATAATTGCCGTTTTTTATGTACATAAGACTATACATTATAAATTGAGATAAATAGCCGGCTTCCTATCTAAAAGTTTAATGGGTCCCACTGCATAACTTATACAATATGGGACAATTCTTACTTTTTGTGGATCATATTCTTCTACATTATTTATCCGAAGGCCGAATTTAAAGAATTTAAGCAGCGGCTTAAATTTAAACTGCGGCTCAAATATTGTTTGCTTCACTTAAAATTGTGTTTAATTTTTTAAGATTTAGGCCGGCGCTCAATTTAAACTGGGTTTTTGGTGAATTTGAGACGCGGCTTAAATTCATTAAATTCGGACATGGGAAATATATTTTTCTTAATTAATCCTCGTTTTCCTCGTTACCTATTCTGGAAATTTATATCTCTGCATTCATTTTAAAATAATGTTTACAGTTGTGAAATTGATAATTGAATTTATTTATTTATTTTTAATTGAGGGGAGCTGAGATCTTGTTCTCCTTGTCCTGGGCAGAGATGGAATACATTGGTTCAGATAAAACAGATCTTGCCAAGGTGAAATATTCTATTTATATTGGGAGTAATCAGGTGTATATATAATTTATATATTTTACTTACTTGGACTACTTGATCGTTAATCCCCAGGGCTCCAGGTATCAGCATAGCGGGAATATCAGAGCCAGGCCACAAGGACTACAGATTTTTTCCTCTCATTGTGCATTTTCTTTTATATCATTACACTCCCCTTTAGACTTGCCTAAAATAATGAAATTATGGTGTTTGGTATAAATGAGAAGTTAAAGGAAGTGATATACCAAAAGTACAATGTTTAATGTTTTCCTTTCAGGAATGTATTGCTAAATTGGTGTATGCTCGTCAATCTCTAGGATTATTCCAACATCATGATGGTATTACAGGAACAGCAAAGGTAATTTAAATTTAAAAATAGCTCTTTTTTAAACAAATTTTAAAATCCGCAATTGTCCCTTTTTAATGGTGGTTTTCAAAGATCTTAATTTGCTTAGGCAATTCTTGAGTCTGACCTGCCATAAACCATCCCTGTTGGTCATGAGGTCCAATCGGTTCAGCTTTTGAGTATTTTAGAAAAAAAGAAATAGAATAATATTACATCATTTTTTTCATTTTTTTCTGAAATGTATTCCTTCAGGACCATGTTGTGCTTGACTATGGACAGAAAATGCTTCTGAGTATCAAGGTAGGAAAATAGAGCACATCGCGTTAGTACGAATCTTATGGGGTTATTGACATGTCATCGAGAATCCTCGCTCTTCATTTTATTCTTATTTCCTAGTATAATTATGGCTTTAAGACGACTTTTTTTGGAGAAATAAATTAATATTTGACCAAATTGAAATTTATTTTCTCAATTCTTGGGAGGTTGCCGGGGTTTAAAGAAAGATCAAAATAAAAATTATTATATGATAATTACCCTTTTCTCAGTTTTCTGAGAAGAATCTGTAAAACCTTTACCGGGGATAATTTTCTAACTTTTGATGGAGATATTCTTATTTTAACAAGTTTTAAAAAGGAGGAACTTTGCCCAGTTCAGATACTAATATAATATTTGTAGGCAATGCAGTTTGTTATTCAGCAGTCCACTAACTTTCTTCTTACAACTAAAAAACCTAACTATACGCCCAGGTAGATTCCATTTTAAGTATGTTTTTTAGCATCATTTGTTCATCATCTTATTTACTTGAGCAGGGGTATATATTTTGAGAAGGTGGGGAGGGGAGCGTCGATACTGTGCAGTGGTGGGAAAAATCAAAAATGCTTTAGTTGTTTTTTCCACCATGTTTTTCGGAAGTTCATAGTTCTGGGATTTGAGTTTAAGCCGCTATAACATACTTTTTTTTGTCAAGATTATTTTTTTAATAAAGTTTGACACATTTTTTATCATATTATTTTATATTTTGTTCAGGACTGACACCGCCTACTTTGACCTAGATGACCTAAGATCTGAATCCTGGTCTATTCCTAAGGAATTGTATTCATGCAAATATTGAACATTTTAAACTTTTAAAGTTGTTAGTTTTCCATAAAAGCTTTGTGTAATCAAGTATGAATTAGATATCCATGTTTTTTGTTTTTTTACTGTTTTTTTTATTTTTGGTTTCTCATCAAAAGTGATTGCGCATTTCTTGATTACAAGTAACTAAGGAGAAATTATCATAACAACACTTATCAATTGAGAAAAACGACGTTATCAGCCACATTTTTGATAAGGTTACGGTTTCAGGAGTAACCTTGTAAATCTGGAGTTACTATGGCGTTACCATGGCGTTACCATGGCGTGATGAAGGGTCGTGCTTGATATTATCGCGTACAGTCTCTCAAAGATGGTGCCAGAACAATTCACACAAAACGACTCTTGTTGTGACAAATTCAGGCCTTTCATTTCTTGAAATAGCCTAGAAAAATATCCCGAGCTACTTTGCAAGGAAGATACACTGGAAACATCGAACTTTTATTATTCAATAAAGGGTGAATCGTTGTTCAGAATTTGTATGTCAAACTTTTTATGAATAATGACAAATTAGAAAACTGTGATTGACGTGGATAACGCTGGTGGTTTGAGTCGGCTGGTTATATACAACAGCCAAGCTAGAAAACGGCAGGAGATGGTCACTGTTCGCGTCTCTAGTCATAATATAAAGGTAGGGGTTCCATTCTAGAGCTGGAGTTCACAGTACAGGTATTTAGGGCAGGGGGGGGGTGGGGCAGCTTGATAAATACTAACCCCTGTTAAAATTAATCAAAATTAGTTTGGATTATTATTACTATTATTTAAAGATTCAGGTTGTATCCCTTTTTACAAACTCTTCCTGTCCTCTAACAGACGTTTGTACTGTTCAAAAATCATATTTATCGGCATTTTAGGACTCCTTCCTTATCTGGCATACACTTAACACTGAATCCTAAAAGAAACCAATTTAAATGGATATGATCCACTAAAACACAATCAGACACGGATAAGTTGCTGGAGCTCGACCCTGTATATGATGAGTAAGATTGAAGATAAGTATCAGGATGGGGGTAGGGAGAAGGAAGAGGAGATGGAACTACCCTGTCAAATATCTCATGTTTTTATAAATAGTTTAATATATTCAGGTGTATATGATGAGTAAGAATGAAGATGAGTATCAGGATGGGGGTAGGGAGGAGGAAGAGGTGGTTGAACTACCTTGTCAAATATCTCCTGTATTTATCAATAGTTTAATATGTTCAGGTGTATATGATGAGTAAGATTGAAGATGAGTATCAGGATGGGGGTAGGGAGGAGGAAGAGGTGGAACTACCCTGTGAAATATCTCATGTTTTTATCAATAGTTTAATATGTTCAGGTGTATATGATGAGTAAGAATGAAGATGAGTATCAGGATGGGGGTAGGGAGGGCTCAGTTTCATTTGCCATAATATTTTTGCCATAAATATTTTTGCCATAATTACATTTGCCATAATACATTTACCATAAGTAACACTTGCCATAAGTCACACTTGCCATAAGTTACACTTGCCATAATGGTTACACTTGCCATAATTACACTTGCCATAATTACTCTTGCCATAACTAAAATTAAATTTGGTTTGAATTAACAAACATATATTTATATTTTTTTTTACAATTACAAATAGAATACAAATTACAAATCTAATGCACAGACAGTTCATGAGCTATCAGTTTTAGGTACTCTTCTATGGGAAGAGTATTATACAGTAGGACAATGTTAGCAATCCTCTCATAGGTTTGAGGAAGAAATTAGGGTTCAAATTCTAGCTGAGCACATTTTAACCGAACATTTTCAATATTTTACTTCTGTAGACGAGGCATTGGCTACATAGGTGTAGTTGTTGCTGTCTCGAACCATTGGTTTACCCCTACATGTGGTCTCAAAGGTCACCAAAGGGTCCTCCATTGTGAGAAAATATGGAGCTGAACTTGTGTCAACTGTTCTGTTTTAAAACAATGAGAAAACTAAGGTTGCGAATTTTCATCGGAAAATTTCCCGCATTTGCAATAAAAAAGACAGATTTACATCTTTTTAAAAATTAGAAAATTATGACAAAAGTAATTATAGCCAATGTAATTATGGCAAGTGTAACCATTATGGCAAGTGTAACTTATGGCAATTGTGACTTATGTCACGTGTAACTTATGGCAAGTGTTACTTATGGCAAAAGTATTATGTCAAGTGTAATTATGGCAAAAATATTATGGCAAATGAAACTGAGCCGTAGGGAGGAGGAAGAAGTGGAACTACCCTGTCAAATATCTCATGTTTTTATCAATAGTTTAATATGTTCAGGTGTATATGATGAGTAAGATTGAAGATGAGTATCAGGATGGGGGTAGGGAGGAGGAGGAGGAGGTGGAACTACCCTGTCAAATATCTCCTGTATTTATCAAGGATGGAGAAATATCTAACTCAGAGTACGAATTGACCTTTCTAGGTAAATTCTCAAAAACCCTTAATCTCTTTGCCTTACTTTTTATACTATATTTGATTTAAAGGATTAGGATTATAACACTCATTAGGAGTTATTTTTTGTCGACTCAAAAAGATTTTCGAAATATCTGAAATATTGCTGTTGTAAATGCCATTTATTTTAGTTTTTGCTTTTCTTTTTAAGAGATTTTATTGGGGTGGGGGGAGTGCGAGAAAGATTTATCATTAAGTATTACCTAATGATTTGACAGTGTCTATGTTCAAAGCAATCTAAAATTTCTAAACAAAACCCGCAACTATTTTTTCTACAGTGTTACCCACAAAAGATGAGACCTGAGAAAAGATTTGTACGGAATTTATATTTTTTGTTTCCTTTTATTCATGATTCCCTGCTACTGTAAACTTGTTTGTTTCCTTTTATTCATGATTTCCTGCAACTGTAAACTAGTTTGTTTCCTTATATTCATGATTCCCTGCTACTGTAAACTAGTTTGTTTCCTTACATTCATGATTCCCTGCTACTGTAAACTAGTTTGTTTCCTTATATTCATGATTCCCTGCTACTGAAAACTAGTTTGTTTCCTTACATTCATGATTCCCTGCTACTGTAAACTAGTTTGTTTCCTTACATTCCTGCAACTGTAAACTAGTTTTTTTCCTTACATTCATGATTCCCTGCAACTGTAAACTAGTTTGTTTCCTTATATTCATGATTCCCTGCAACTGTAAACTAGTTTGTTTCCTTACATTCATGATTCCCTGCAACTGTAAACTAGTTTGTTTCCTTACATTCATGATTCCCTGCTACTGTAAACCAGTTTGTGTTTCCTTACATTCATGATTCCCTGCTACTGTAAACTGGTTTGTTTCCTTACATTCCTGCAACTGTAAACTAGTTTGTTTCCTTACATTCATAATTCCCTGCAACTGTAAACTAGTTTGTTTCCTTATATTCATGATTCCCTGCTACTGTAAACCAGTTTGTTTCCTTACATTCATGATTCCCTGCTACTGTAAACTAGTTTGTTTCCTTATATTCATGATTTCCTGCAACTGTAAACTAGTTTGTAACTATATTTTAGGCGGAATACATAATTTAACCTTGGGATCGTCTCAGTTTAAGAGTTTCCGGTCGTCTGTCTCGTCCTTTGTGGGTAACCCAGTACATCCATATGGTTGGGAGAAAAAGAGGCATAGTAAATGTTTGATAATCTAATATTTAGCTAATGTGCCTGCTCTGGCCCTGGAAACCTACTTCCTACGAGGGGTTGGAACTGAGGAGAGTAGAGTAGAGGAACTCAGTGTTCCTACAGTCAGGATAATTAACTCAGACAAGGAACCATATCAGGTAGAGGGGTCGCAAGATTAAGATGGAATTTGAAGACGACATGGAAATAATTCAAAGTTTATTTCTATTTGAAGTGGCTTCCTGCAAACGGCGCAACTTTTTCATGTTCTATTGATTTATTATTCAAGAGTATTAAGTTTAAAATTGTCTAATTTAGATTGCTCCGTTCTCTTCTGTAACTCTGATGAAACCTGAACCATTTACTTTGGCAAATACATACTTAAAGGAACACAATATTATCTTTAACTCCTTGTATTTTTATTTGACCCAATAACCAATCGAAGTATGCTTAGTTTTGAATTCATGTTTTGGGAGAAAGGAATTGAGTCTTTGTCACAAGCTATGATTTTCTAATCTCTATATCTTTGTAATCAAATGCCGTAGACCTTAGATATTTCAAACTATGAATTCTGTTAGATGAAAAAATCCAAGTTTGAAATATCAAAGGTTTACACCATCAGGTGGAAAAAATATAGGTATTAGAAAATCAGAGTTTGTAACAAAGACTCAATTCCTTTAACATTTGAAATGTATGTTTTGTCTGATAAACAGGAGATTTGTTAATTAAAAACAAATTCTTTATCAAAGTTAATTCGGACAGGAGCACTAGAACAAGGGGTCTCTTTTAATAATGACTAGCTGAAGTGCCTGGCTTTGCCCGTGGAGTTTAAAAAATTGGTAAATTCTTGGTAGAAAACGACCTCCTGTATCAAAAAGGTTGATATAATAGTTATTCGACTTATTCATATATTACCTAGGTAACATAATTATGTAAAGTATTCAGTATACGGACACATTACACATTACACACACGCTCCTATATTTATAAGATAATGAAAGATGCATATAAAGATTATTCTTGACATAACTACCATAAACTGAATATTGAACAAATATTGTGTTAAAGTATTCAGTATACGGACTCATTACACAGTACACACACGCTCCTATATTTATAAGATAATGAAAGATGCATATAAAGATTATTCTTGACATAACTACCATAAACTGAATATTGAACACATATTGTGTTAAAGATGCATATAAAGATTATTCTTGACATAACTACCATAAACTGAATATTGAACACATATTGTGTTAAAGATGCATATAAAGATTATTCTTGACATAACTACCATAAACTGAATATTGAACACATATTGTGTTAAAGGCTAAGTTTGGAAGTACAGGTTTACTGGAGGGTTTAACAAACCTGGATACTGGAGAAACTACTCCAACCCGTCTACAGTTTATCAAGTATGGAGCTAGGTCCCAAGGGGAGCGGAGTGGAGCCTACCTCTTCCTACCTGATGGTCCTGGATCCGTTGTTCAGTTCCAGGATCCTGTCATTAGGATAGTCCAGGGCAAACTAATGTAAGTTTTCATTTATAAAATTTAATTTTTAAATCTGCTCATCTGCTCTTATTCAATTAACATATGGTTTTTTACGGGGTTTATCGCTGAATTTTACTTTTAGGCTAAATAAATAAACTGTTGGAAAAACTATAAAACGCTCTGAAGTTTAAGTTTCATTTTATATTTTTTCCCTTTTAATTGAATAGTAAAAAATTACGGAATTGCTAATTATTTGACAAAAAAAGTTAAGAAAGGGAATTGTTGGACAAATACAACCAAAATTATTTGATTTTAATTGAAATTTGAGTAGAATTTGAGTAGAATTTGAGTAGAATTGTAGTAGAATTGTATTTGTTTCTAGGTCGTACGTTGAGGTAGTATCTGCTTGGTTGACCCATCGTGTTTTCCTGCTCAACTCCCCTGGAGTAGATGGTACTGGGCTCAGTATACAGAACGATATAGATCTCACCTCCCGTAGGATGGATAACTCGGAGATATCAATGCGGTTTACTTCAGGGATAGATTCCAAGGATATTTTTTACACGGATCTAAACGGTTTCCAGGTCAGTATTAGAGTAGTGTCAATCATTCAACCATGTTGAGTGTCAAAATTTTCAATTTTGTAATTTGTTATGAATAATTAAATGCTCGAAGTACACTTAGTCATGTGTGTCGTACATGGATGATGGATGTGTTTGTCGGACCTGTGCATTTTGATTTTACCAAAGGTTTGGTAATCAGTCATAACACAATTTCCGAACATTTTTGAGTTTTGAGTTTTATTTAAGAATTTTGTTAAAATATAAATGTAAGATTAACAGGAACTTATCATTTTTGAATAGGTGTATGCCATTCCTTGTTCTGTTCCTGTATTCTAAACCCAATTTGATATTTCATAAAATAAACTGAATTTAGATGATTCGGAGAAAACATTATTCTAAGCTGCCCCTTCAAGCCAACTGGTATCCTGTTGCTACACTCATGTATATTCAGGTAGTATTAATATCTTAATTATTATTATAAATTTCACACACATCTTTATATAGATAAAGTAGTAATCTCTGTTTGTTTGTTTGGATGTCTGATCATACCTTATGTACCCCAAGACAGATTTTCTCAAATTTCCATCGGTCGGTGGAACCATGGAAATGTTCCGATCCTGATTTTAAAATTCCAAGTACTTTTATAGTGAAAGCTAGTAAAAAGAATAAAATTTTATAGTATTTTAATATTTCAATATTTTAATTAACCCCTATAATATAAATGATAAGAAAAGTAGTGATAAATTGAATTAATTGTGCTATACAAATTCATTCTAGAATTAAAACATAATTTTATTATAATGCTAATTCAAAGTATTGAAGTCTGCTTTTTAAATAAACATTTTTAGAAATACATTCAATGCACTTATACAATACATGCTAATCGAGTTAAAAATATAAATTTTAGAGAGAAAAAAAAAACAATATTAAAATCTTAGAGCACTTTCATTAAAAAAATTTACAAATAATTTTTTTTTTTAAGGTTTTTATAAAAGATAATTACAAAATTGTACAAAATTATTTTAATTGTATTACAGTATTCCAATTTTTCCCACTTTGGCATTCTTGGGGCCCCAGGACCCTCCCCCTTGGGGGGGGGGATCCCACGACCCCAAAAACCCCAAGTGGGAAACAGCACCCCAACATTGATTTTTGATTTTTTCAAAATAATTGGTATTAGAAATAGTCTGCATACTGTGAACCCAACCAAATGTTCATCCATATGTACATTGTATCATATAAGTTCATTGCTCCTGGTTGGAGAAATGTAATGTCTAACCAACCTAAGAATAAAGCCAAATAATCCAGATGCAGTCCAAAAGAATATTGAACCCTGATTATGTTTGCAGCCTTAAATACACAGCAGTGTAGGCGGACAAGGGTATTTAACCCCTTTCTCATCTAGAGATACCACCCGCCGGCCGCAGAGTGCAATCCATCAACATTCAAAGAGCGGTTTAAAGGGCAGCTAGGGTAAGATCGATGCTGGAGAAAGGCGTGAAATGGCATTTATCTTGCCAGCAAAGAAAGTAGATCGTCAGCCATCTCATCCCCGGGTTCCCCAAGGCTCACCAATCACAGAACATCTGATCAGAAGAGTTGAATGGAATATATTCCCCCCAGGCGAATGTCATGTGTACTTAGATCAACTTTAGTTGGTCTATCAGTAATTGTTTTTTTTTTGTATCGTTATAATGAAAAAAATTAATAATGTTCAGAATTCTGCTAATCTCTGCTTCTTTTTTAATTCTGTCTGATATATCTGGTTTGTTGCAAGGAAGTTTAGCTCATCATATGTTTCTAAAAATTCAATATCTCAGCTGCTGACACTAACCCATAAACAATCTTGAAATAATAACCCTTGCAAGTTTTCTAGTACTGATATTTGCTATCTCAGCAGGTTTGTAGATTGTTGAATGATAACTACAAAATATAGATTTGTAAATGTGTAATTTTTCTAGCTCTGTTGCAGGGTGAGGAAACAAAAAGGAACACTGCACCAAAATTTGTGTGACCCAATGTCAGAATCTCTACTTAAAAAAAAAGATAGATGTAATAAAAGGGGTTTTGGGCTAGGAGTAGATTGACAACAGTTGGACTCTTGAAACTTATGTCTTAAGAACACTTGGGCAGTACTTGTAAATTATACTTGTACTTAATGCTTCTCCAAATTAGGAAGGATGTAGATTTTACTTGAAAACTGGCACACCAGACCTGTTTTTAATGAGTGCAAATCCAGCTTTTCCATAGACCCAGAGAGATAAAAACCTCTGTTCTCTATGGTAATACAGCGTTGACAGATGAATGCAGGCATTTCTTATTGATTATCTTGTTTTCCTCTTCAATTTCCTTTTATACCTTAAGTTTCTTATGTGTACATTTAACTTAGATTTGCCATTTTTCTTTGTCTCCCTGTACTCCTAGTTATTGTTAGAAGCGCGTCAGCAAAGACCTAGGTCCTGCTTTGATGAAAGCTAAAAGTTGAACTGGCCGTTTCATCAATAAAGAAGACATGCAATGCAATTGAAATAATACTTAAGTTTCTGATATTATTATTTTATGCATTAAACAAAAGTAGCTTTACTTTAAATTATATATAAACTCTTTTAGAAACTTAAATATTTTTAGGATGAGAAGAATAGACTGTCTCTAGTTTCCAGATCTCCCCTAGGCGGCAGCAGTCTCAACTCTGGTGAACTGGAGATAATGCTGGATAGAAGATTAGCACAGGATGATAATAGAGGATTATTCCAGGGGGTTCAGGATAATAAGGTAATAGAGAATTATTCCAGGTGATTGAGGATAATAAGGTAATAAAGGATTATTCCTGGGGGTTCAGTATAATAAGGTAATAGAGGATTATTCCTGGGGGTTCAGGATAATAAGGTAATAGAGGATTATTTCAGGTGATTCAGGATAATAAGGTAATAAAGGATTATTTCTGGGGGTTTAGGATAATAAGGTAATAGAGGTTTGTTCCTGGGGGTTCAGTATAATAAGGTAATTGAGGATTATTCCTGGGGGTTCTGGATAATAAGGTAATAGAGGATTATTCCTCTGGGTTCAGGATAATAAGGTAATAGAGGATTATTCCTGGAGGTCCAGGATAATAAGGTAATAGAGGATTATTCCTGGGGGTTCAGGATAATAAGGTAATAGAGGATTATTCCTGGGGGTTCAGGATAATAAGGTAATAGAGGTTTATTCCTGGGGGTTCAGTATAATAAGGTAATAGAGGATTATTCCAGGGGGTCCAGGATAATAAGGTAATAGAGGATTATCCTGGGAGTTCAGGATAATAAGGTAAGCATACAGATTATACAGACAGAAAAATAGAAAGGTCCAAGAATTTATTCCTCACTGTGAACATTTCTTTATTTTGCATTTTTATGACTAAAATAATTTCAGGTGACTCGACATCAGTTCTTCCTTGTTCTTGAGAAGCAGGTTGAAGGATGTATCGAGGAACCTGAAGGACCAGCTTCTTATCCTTCTCTTCTAGTTCTTTCAATCCGACACTCCATACTTAATCCATTCTTCAGGTATCTACTTAATATCTATAGTATTATGGGATAATCTTGTTTCTAACTAGGTTAATTATGTATTTACCTACAGGGTGTCCCACGAAACATGACATTTAATAAATAGCTATTTTTAGTTAAACAAATCTTTTGCTTAATTATATTTTACTTTAAAATCAAAGATCTAATGTGACTTTAATATTTAATATTTTTATTGATCTTTGGTATCACAGAACTTAACAAATTAGGGAAAAAGACATTCTAAACTATTCACCAACTGTCAAGTTTCGTGGGACACCCTGTACCATAATCTTGTATCTACCTAGGATGATTAATGATGATGTAAATACCTACTTTAATCTTGTATCTACCTAGGTTGATTATGTAACTACCAAATATAATCTTGTATCTACCTAGGTTGATTATGTAACTACCAAATATAATCTTGTATCTACCTAGGTTGATTATTTAACTACCAAATATAATCTTGTATCTACCTAGGTTGATCTACCTATCTGGGAATGGTAACTCCTTGTCTACTAAGTATACTGCTGTACACAAGGACCTGGATTGTGATATTCATCTTATTAATCTTAGAACAATGACGTTTAATACTTACAGGGATTCAAATTCATCAAAATATTAAATAGTCCTTCAAAGCTTTGTATTATCAAAAAGGAACGAGCTATTTATGCTATTTACTTTAAATATTAATTCGACTGTGGTTTCTTTGTAAATGTGGCAATCTCATTTCTTGTACAGAAAACGGAGGATTTTGTCTTAACTTGCAGCTTTTCAAGATAAAAAATGAAGATGTTCTTCTATTTAAAATTCGGTGATGGTGATGACCAAACCTCTGAAGAGTAAAAAAGTAAATGTTAGTCCCACATTTATTGAAAATATTTCTTTAGAAACTTTTTGTAAATTTTATAATAAAAATCCAATCTTGGCTTTATTTGAATTTGAATATTTAGTCCGACACCAAGTGATAAATCTGCTTTAATCATCCACAGACAAGGATTTAATTCCTGTTATAAACCGGTGGGGCTAACCTGCCAAACAAGTGGGGGAAAGGTGAGTCAGTTTTTTTTTACTTTTATACTTGTGCATTACATTGAGTCCCATCAAACTGTGGAATATGTAGACGACATTTAACAATGTGTATATTATACGGTATTATAAAGCAAATAGATCTACCAGTAGCTAGGAAATCGACTTTGTATGTAAAATGGGTCATAGCACACTACAAGTGCACAATTGCTTTTTGTATGTCAGTAGACTATTTAAAAATCAATTTCGAGTCTCACAGTCGTCCTCCTTTGAACTAAAAAGTCGAATTTGTCTTTTTTTCTGAAAAATCCCTGAAGATAAAGGTCTGTAAAATATAATTGATAAGTAAAAATTGAAAATATTTTTTATTTACATCATACTGAAACATATTACATGTCTTGTCTGGGCAATGACAATTGACTATTTTATTGTTTACTTAAAAACTAGTTCATGTGTTGTCCTAATACGTCACAGTAGAATATACACAACCCCCTTTATCTCTCTATCAATACTACACTCATTGATCTAAACTTTAGATATTTGTAAATATTTATAGATATTCGTATTTGATTTGTGAAAACCATCTTTTATTTAGGTTAGTTTAGACGAAATGTTCCCAACCCTGTACAGCAGTTCAGTTAACCAGGTTAAGTACCATCCAGTACAGTACAGTTTACATTACATAGTTATAATATTAAGGACATTTATTTTAACAATTTGCGAATAAATCGCAATAAATTAAAATGTTACACCCACAGAATCGTCACAATTTACATTTTTAATAAAATTGCTAATTCCTTTAAATGTCCCTATCGTTCTATTTTCTCTAAAAAATTGTTTCAGGTGTCTCTCTCCTTAATGTATGAAGGGATGAAGATGGAGAAAGCATTTACAGTTTCTATCCAGCCCATGGAGATGTATTCATTCATACTTTCCAGGTAATCAAAAAGTTTAGGTTTAGAACCAAATGAAATTTTGACAATATTTCGGTTTTGACCTATTAAAGTTTTACGTTTTTTAATTTTGATTTAACGAAATTTTACCTTTTTTAACGTTGACCTAATGAATTTTACGTTTTTAATTTTGACACCAAATGAAAGTTTTCTTTTATCAATTTTTCTTTTAAGATTTATTGATTTTATTATTATTATTTAGATGATCCAGACTACAAACCTTAGAGAGGTAACCTTAAATATTATTTCATATTTTTGCAATATGTAAATCCTTTGCATATATTCCAGAGGATAGAGAGGTATTTAAAAGATTAAAAGTACGTAAAGTCGTAACTTAATACTACCTCTCGTTTCCTATTGACTAGATCAGAGTGTCTGATTCATAACAGTTCCGTTTAAACAAGTTGACTGACCAAGGATGATGGATGATCTTTTATTTATTTATTCATTTTTCTACAAAAAGAGCTTGTAGTTGTTGAACACTCTTTTATATTCAAGAAATGTTAATTTAATATTTTTTTAGAAATCGCAGAAAGATAAAAACATTTACTTTTTAATTTTGAAAACCGCTTCGGAACGTAGCTTACTTTCACATGTTTCTGTAATTTAAACACCATCTTTGAGATAAACACACGGAGTTTTCTGTCATCGATGATCATTCAAAGGTTAAAAGGATATCGTTGTAAACCGGGCATTCTAAATTACGCTTACAGTCCGTTTAGTGGGCCTGATTTTGTTGTAAAAAACGGAAATACTTTAAAATGTATATTTATTTCAGATTACTGCATTCACGTACATTTTAGAGTCTGACAATAAACAAGAAAGAAAGAAGAAAATAACTTTCATTTACCCACATAAACTTAGGAAAATGGGATTTACCTGACATTTTTATACGAATGTACAGGGTTACCCACTAAGGATGAGACTGCAAAGGCGTCCTAAAACTTGTAAAATATGACTACCCTAAGGTTAAGTTAAGGTTTCTGCCTTGAATAAATTATTTTAATAGCTGATAAAAGGATTTATTGAAGAAAGAAACAAGTATAGAGTTGCAGGGAATCATGAATATATAGGAATACATTTACATTCTGTGCAGTCGTCACTCGTCTTTGAAGACTCATCCTTTGTGTTTACCCTGTAACTATATTAGGATATTGTATATATATCCATTTTAAACATTACAATATGCATGGTTACCGAATTATGATTATAATGATATTTACATAAATGTGACAGCATGACGAATCCGCGAAACTGTCGAAATAAAACAAACTGCAGAAAATTGAATAATTAGACCTTTTAACTTTTCTGTAAATTATTGGATTTTTAGAATCACACAACTTGCGTCCCAACTCATTCACTCTTATATTTTATACTTGAAAACGACGCATGATGTTACAAGAGGTAATGGTATTTTATGTTGAAGCAAAATATGATTTGATTTTTTTTTACTTAAAGAGCTATTCTTAATTGTGATCTTTTTTATTTACTAAATGAAAAGAAAGCAAATAGATTGTCAAGTACAATAGCTGGCAACAGAGAAATGAACCAATTCAACACAACGTCACTAGTGTCAAAATATAGCAAGGAAAACGAGATTGTCGCACACAAGTTGACATGTTTTCCAAGATTAAATAAAAAATTGTAAAAACAGAGACTAAAGAACACATAAAATTGCACTTATTTTACTGTAAGAAAAACACTTTATTATCACTATTATTGATAATTTTGTCGGACACAAAAACTGAATTGACACTTGTGACGACAGAATACAGCTGTACTGAGAGTGTACAAATTCTACGTTCCCATCTATTGTACTAGAATCTATTTGAATAAAAGGAATAACTTGTGCATATTTTACCCCTTAATAAAATATTTTACGCTCAGATTTGGTTTGTTGTGGAAGATATATTTCCTTGAATATTAGATTCTAATTGAACTGCTTAAATTCATTATTTAAATGTCCTAAAAACTATTATTAAAAAAATATATTTTGAGTGCAATAACGTTGCGCAAAAACATTTGTACTTTTTAAATTTTATGTTTTCCTTGAATATTTTATCCTATAAGATTAAATTCATTATTTTAACGTCCTTAAAACTTTAACTTTTAGAAAACCATTCACAAAATCATTTTGCCGAAAATCTTATACAGGGTGTCCCAATAGACAAGGGAATTCAGTGACGAATTGGATATCGTCTTTGTTATGAATTAGCATTGTAACACCTAATTTCAAAAGCCATAATATTATTATGTCTGCTATAATTTATTTTATGAAAAGGGTAAAATACTGGAAAGATGTGTCTATAATGTCTCTGCAAGATGAACAGTGAAATCGGACAGTTTACTCTGTTTGTATACTATAATTTTCTTGTTGTACAACCGCATGCAGTCAAAACATAAACGAACAAAATGTGAACGTAGCAGACGAAACTCTTACAGATTACAGCCTTCTCAGTAGGTATCACTATACTAAATCAAAGAATTATTTAAAAAGACGATATCGAATTCGTCACTGAATTCCCATGTTTATTGCAGTTTTTAATGAAATAAACTCGAGGTTTTCTAGTGAATTTTATAGCTGTAGGGTTTAAGTTAAAAATACGTTATTAATCTCCTGACCTACTGAACTTAGTGATTATTCCCCTTTCCTTGTTAAAAAATCAACATTTTTTACGCATTTTTTTATTAAATTTAGGTTTTCAATGTTGGTATCAATTTCTAGAATGAGACCACATTTGTAATAGTGTAAATATAATAAGTGTTTTTAAATATTAATGTGTTATGTATTGCACTTTATCCGTATGTGTTACAATGTACGATAAATTTAGAATATATTATAGTTAATCTGTTTTATTCTTCATAATTAATAAATGTTTTATGACATGTTGCGGTTGTATATGCGTTACCTAGGCATTTTAGTAACTTTGTCGAATTTTTTAAAAGCTTTATTATGGTTCAAACTTTTTCAAACCATCCACTGAAGAGCAAGTTGAAATAATCTAATTTAATTTCAATGCAATTGGTGTTTTTCTTAACATATTTAGTCTCAAACTACTGAAAACTGTTCATTTGTAAAATCAAGAACTTTGCCCATTTATGACAAGACCCCACGGTAAGATTTATGGACCTTCAAAAACCTTCAACCGGTAAAAACAATATATACAATAAATTTAATTATATCTGGGAAAATGTAACATTGATTCTATTTGAAAATTAATAAATAGAAAAATCTGCGATATAAAGCTAGAATTGTTAAATGGTAACAGAGCGCGAAACGCCCCATAATAAACCTAGTTTTTTTATATATTTTAATATATGGATGCTTCATGGACAATTTGGGACTCGGCCAAATTTCATTTCTTAAAAAATGATGTCAACGTTTTTATTATGGTTGTGAATCTCATTTTGATATATTTTGGGGAAATTGTATTCCATTAGTGAATTAATCTACACTTAACAACTTCTGAATAAAGGACTGCAGCATTATGGATTGGAGAAATAATAAATCTATTTCAATGGTATTATCTATGATGAATATCTTTATTATGGATTGAAGAAATAATATAATATAAAGTTCCCAACAAATCTATTTCAATGGTATTATCTATGATGAATATCTTTATTATGGATTGGAGAAATACTAAAATATAAAGTTCCCAATAAATCTATTTCAATGGTATTATATATGATGAATATCTTTATTATGGATTGGAGAAATAATATAATATAAAGTTATAAAGATGGATGTACAGCTAGCTCTAGTAGAATGTAGATGAATGTACGGTTGCCTATACTAAAATTTAGATTTATGTACAGCTGCCTCTAGTAGAATGTAGATTAAGTTACAGCTGCCTCTAGTACAATGTAGATGAATGTACAGCTGCCTCTAGAATGTAGTTTAAGGTTCAGCTGCCTCTAGTAGAATGTAGATTATGTTACAACTGCCTCTAGTAGAATGATGATGAATGTACAGCTGCCTCTTTTAGAATGTAGATTAAGGTACAGCTGCCTCTAGTAGAATGAAGGCGGATGTACACCAGCCTGTGGTCTATTCACCCGTCGTATTGTCCTAACGACAATCTTCCTGTTAATCCCCCATCTGTTCTCCAGGTACTGGTTAGAGTCAGGTATCTCCACCCACCCAACACAGCATAATCCACCCCAGGTAAACCTTAACATAGAAACTTATGAGTTAAACAGTTTTGAAAATTCTCTATCAACTATTGAGACCGGGTAGGCGTAGAACATGCTCTCTCTCTCTGTAGAATTACAACATATAGAGAGAACTTGTTCTATGCTGACTTCGCGTAACTCCTTTGGGCTTCTACCTCAAGGTTATGAATGAAACACACATAAATCTGTAAAAGACGACATCTGGCTCCTATCTGTTATTTTAATTAATCTATGATTAGTGAGTATTATACTTTTCATAAAAACATTAATTTGATGATATTTGGAATAACGCGGTAAAAATGTCCTCGGGGACTAGAATTTTCAATTGCGGACCTTTAAACTCAACTCCTATCTTGAATAAACGCAACTGTTATCATAACAGAAATTACCCTCAAAGAATCTTCAGAGATGATTGTACGCGCGGAAATGATACTGTCTGTTTTATATTTATGATTCCCGAAATCTTTAAACTGTTACTTTCTTTGCCCAGTCATCAAATGAGCCATCAAAATACTATATTAAATCAACACAGCAAACTTAATTTAATCCTTGAAATTGACACACTTTAAGAGTTTCATGGGTCGTCAGTGTAACCCGGTTTTATTTTGATCTTTGAGGAAGTTTTTTATGTTGTATTAAAAAAGTTGTGTTCTTATTTTCAAAAATCTTAGGTTCAGGAGTATTTTATGTTGTATTAAAGAAGTTGTGTTATTATTTTCAAAAATTTGGGTTTCAGAAGTATTTTGAAATAGGTAAATATTCACTTAAATATTAAAGAAATATACTCACAATACGAGGATCAAAGAGAGAGATGTAATGATGAATCCTAAAACCACGAATATGAGAAGGGACACCATCATGAACTCATTCTGTGGACAGTGGGCTGAAAATAGGAAAAGGTATTTTATACTACTGAAAAATAATAATTTTTGTAATCAATGCATATTTTACCATGCAGTATCCTAGCTAATAATCAAATATTTTAATTCGTGGTTGCTCTGTGAAAGTGACTTGAAGATTCATGTTGCAGAAACAAGGAAAGACATGGTAAAAATTTAACACTTTTCAAAAAATAGCAGCTATGATATCCTAATTCTAACTCATATGCTTGTTGAGAAGCAAGCAAGCCACGCTTTTTTAATAGAGGGTTACTTGAAGTTTGAATTACGTTTAGTGGAGTCTCTTTATTAAGTTACTCTGCCCTCTTATTGTTCCTTATTATTATTATTATCTACAGGGTGTCCCACGAAACATGACAGTTGGTGAATAGTGTTGAATGTCTTCTTCCATATACTGTACTAGATATTAAAGACTTTTTGTTGTTTATTTTGTTAAAGAAATCTTTCACTCAAATATATCTTACTTTGAAATCAATTTTACTGTAAGATGACTTCCATACTATATTTTTTTATTCTCTTTGGTATCAAACAACTTAACAAATTATGGAAGAAGACATTTTAAACTATTCACTAACTGTCATGTTTAGTGGGACACCATGTATTAAATGAAACTCATGTTCCATTGAACTTAAAACAGTTATATCTAAAAACATCTTTAAAAACCTGATACTTAAAATGTTTTCTATTACTTATCTTTATAAACCCAATAAATGTAAAGAGATTTATGTCCTGAATGCTATTAAATCTTTAAACGTAGTTCCAAACTGTTTCTGTCATTGCATTACTATTCATTTATCAAACTTTAAAATTTATTTAGTATTTTGATATTTCAGCCCCATTGTCCATTTATTTTATTATGTTCTTGTGTTTCATTTTATGGATAATGTTTTATTTAATCCTTTTCCTTCCATTTTAATTTTGTAAGTACCAGGGCTAGATTTATAAAGGTCGCAGACCTTTTAGTCCTCGACACAATTGTTAAAAATATTTTTTATATAAATTTAAATGTAGAAATACATTATTATTATTATTAATACCTTTTTGCTTCTTTGTTAAATCCAGGATGAGCAGTATTAATCCCGCCATTGACCAAACTTGAAATAAAAATATTAAATTCAGTTTTATAAGAATCGGGATTCTTTTATCTACAGAGTGCCCCACTAAACACGACAGTTGTCTAGGACTAAATTTGTGTTAAAAAAGTTGAACGACTTTTCATATTGTGTTGTGTGTATATATCTATTGAAAAGACGTAATCCTTTTCATGAATACTTACTATGCTCTAAATAAAGACGACATTTAAGCCTCCTCGAACTGTTCATGCTTTAGAATACCTTGTACGTGGATTTAATGAAATTTGTTGATCGGGGGATTAGAAAAATGTCTTTTTCTTGTTTAATTAATATCGCAAAATAATATTAATTGTGCACATTTTATTTATTTTACATTTCTAGCGCATGCAAATACATTTTTACTTTTCAGTTGTCATATAAACAAAGAAAATTTTAAAAATAGTTTAAAATGAAATTAAAAATAATCTAACCTGTTCCTAAGGAAACCAATATATTATCTAGAACTTGTAAACAATAAACCCCCTTCTTAGCTCGCCTAGAACTAAAGTAAAATACTGAAAATTAAAGGGAGTGTTCGCTAAAACTAAAATTAGGGTACAAAAAGAATCATAATTCTATTATGAATCGGTCTATATTACCAATGAAATTATTTTTTTACTATTTTTATGAAAGTCACATATTATAGCGATGTCAATAATTATTTTTTTTAAACCAAAACACAATTTTTTTTTTTTTAAATAATATTAAAATAAAACTCAAATACTAATAATATTACCTTTCTTGATTTCCTGGGTTCGCTTGTACTTCAGAACTATATTCATCAACCTAAATAGAAATGGTAAATAAGTTTCCTGACCCACTTTTAACTCTAAAAAAGTGCCCCCGGCACCCCCCCCCCCTACCCTTTTTTGATTAGCTCTCATTTTAAAGATTTTGTGCTAATTTTTTCTTGAAGGGGGCCGAAGGTGTTAAAACATTTCTTTGCAATTATCTATTATATTTACCTTGCTGTATACTATTATTCTTATACTTAACCCAACAATTAGCAGTATACCTCCTACAATAAAAAGATGGGTTGTTTAACTGTGTCTACACTTTTAAAGTCACAGAAAAAACAATATATATATATATATAAATCAAATCAGGATAAAAATGTAAAAGATTGCAATTGTCGTGGTGGAACAAAGAATTGTGTTCTAAATGGAAAATGTTTGAGTAAAGGCGTGGAAATAATATATTCTGACTTTTGATGTAATTGTTATATTTGTTATATATATGTCAAACGATTATTACACGTTTAATTAAAGTAAATATTCAAGGTCCTTATTTACTCCAAAAAAGTGTTAAACCGACATTTTGTTGTTGAGTCCCCGTATTGCTGGGGTATTTCGAACATTTATACCCAATAATCCTTTGAGCCCTGGAACAGAAAAAGAAATGAAGATTTTAAACGAAAAGTTTCATTTCAGTCTTACAGGGACTGAAAATATTTATGCAAAGAGAAACTCTTATTTCTTCTCTATCTAAAATCTATACTCTGTGAAGAGTATTTTCAAAGTAAAAAAGCATCATATCGATCTAGAAACAAATAGTTAAATAAACAAATAAATGGTTTTCCATGATATTTGTCTTCCAAAAATTACCTAGAATAAGGAAGCTGCCTTGAAAAGAAGTCTCTGTACATATGTTGTGCACATCCTAAGCAAAAACAATAATAGAGAAACTGAGATTTTCCCAAATTTTCTAATCCATTTATTTTTTCTAACGTGTTGGTGTAAACCTTTGATGTTTCAAACTTTGACTTTTAATTCTAACAGAATTCATAGTTTGAAAAATAAAGGTCTACGACATCGGGTTGCAAAGAAATAAAGATTTAAAAATTTGAGTTTGTGGTAAAAAAGTCATTTCCCTTCCGATTTGTCGTACACCTTGCATATTGTACAATGTACATCTATTGATGGGCAATAGCTTAGTTAGTTTTTTTACTTTTAAGGTTTTACAAAAATCTGAGAAATTTTGCAAAGGAATTGAGTTTTTGCCACAAAGTCTGATTTTATAACCACTATATCTTTGGAACCAAATGTTGGAGACCTTAGATATTTCAAACTATGGATTTTGTTAAATCAAATAATCTGAGTTTGAAATATCAAAGGTTTACAACATCGAGTTCTAAAGATATTAAGGTTTAAATATTTGCTTTTCTTTCACTATACCAAATTTTGACCCTAGAAGATAATGCTAAAAAACGAACGTTCGAATTTCCATCTTTTTGGATATGAATATTGCAAACTTATAAAAAAAAACTTTACCGAATATTGCTAGTTTTGAATTGTGGAAAATTTTAATAAAAGTTTTTTTTTAAACGAACCAAAATGATGAACAACACTAACCATAATCATCAAAATAATCAAAAGATGAGACTTCAGGGACGATTCTACGGAATTTATACTATTTTCTTATTTTCACGATTCCCTGCAACTGTAAACGTGTTCCTTTCTTTGCTAAATCATTATATAAGCCATTAGATTATTGTATCTAAGGCCGAATACTTAATTTAACCTTGGGAAAATCACATTTTTAAAAGTTTTCGGTCGTCTTTACAGTCTCATCCTTTGTATTATTGGAATATAATTTACCTCCACTGATAATAGAACCATCAAACTCCCTAGTATAGGATCATTATATACCGGAGTAAACGTTACCTACGCTAATAGATCCATAGCTCCGTTAAAAACCATCAAAATCCAGTAGGACCAGAATACCGTAGTTAAACTAACCTCAGCTAATAACAGATCCAGAGCTTTGATAAGAGCCATCAGAATTTCCATTAGGATCAAGATACCAGAGTTAAATGAACCTCAGCTAATGATAAGAACCATCGAATTCCCATTAGGACCAGAATACCGGAGTAAAACTAACCTCAGCTAATAATAGATCCAGAGCTCTGATAAGAAACATCAGATTTCCCAGTAGGACCAGAATACCGGAGTAAAACTAACCTCAGCTAATGATAGATCTATAGCTCTGATAGGAATCATCAGAATTTCCTAGTAGGATAAGGATACAGGAGTAAAACTAACCTCAGCTAATGATAGATCCAAAGCTCCGAAAAGAACCATCATAATACCCAGTAGTACCAGGATACCGGAGTAAACCGAAACAAGAACTGATTCTCCTCCAGTACACATTTTTTATCTTAAATATAAAATTATGTTTGAACTTATTTATCCTAAAGCAGATTTTTATTGCGTGATTTTTAAAATAAGTTTTTTATACTAAATGTTTTTCCAAAATGTACCAAAAATATCTATAAATATATAATAAATTATAAATATATAAACTTGTAATTTCTGTTTGTCTGTTGGTTTGTCTGATCAAAACTCAGGAACTCCTGGACAGATTTGCATCAAATTTTGATTGGGGAACTCGGAAGACCCACGGGAATGTTCTTAGCTTGGTTTTAAGATTCTAAATGAGTGGGTTCATAAAATGTACGACAAAGCTCGGGTAAACAGAGTGACTAATTCTGACTCCCCTGGGCAACGCCGCGCTGGGTTCCCAAGCCAGTACAAATATAACAAGATAACACTTTTTTATTCCAACTGTAAGTATATTTGTGTAGGAGAAGATATTGTTTTCAGTATCGATATAAATTTGAATATAGAAGCTTATTTAAGTAGATTTTATATGTTAATTCCGATTTCAATACCAAAATTTGACATGGATACTAATTTCTAAACAAATTTGGGTAAAGCTACTTTTTCGGACACGAGTGTTAATTTCGATTACAAAATTATATGTCCTTTCTTAATAATACTTTTTTAAGTAGAAGTTACCTACTGTTTAAAAATGTGTAAAAGTATGCACATGTGGATAAATGCTATTAACAATACTGCTTATTGTATTCACGAACGTACTGATAATATTATCTGAGAAATATTTAAAATCAAACCTAAAGTTGACCGCTGAGCCATTCCATATTACGCGTTAAATGTTGGTTTAGGTCTATATTGCTGCGTGAGCTGCGTAGAGATCGAGAACTGCGTCAGAACGTTTAGGGCTGAACTACGCACAAATTCACACAGACTAAAAATTTCATTGTCATTTGATTTTTATTATTATTATTATTTTATTCTTTTTATTATTATTATTATTTTTCCCATAAATTTCTCCTGGCGGAAGAATAGGATATATACATATAGATATAGGAAGGAAGGAAGAAAAGGAGAAATATCTAGAAATAATAATGACAATGTAGATAATTCCTCTAATTCCTATTGTATATATATATCTCATATTACTCCTTCCTTCCTATATATATATATATATATGTTTCCTATTTCTCCTTTCTTCCTATATATAAATATCTCCTATTCCTCCTTCCTTCTCATAAATATCTCCTATTCCTCCTTCCTTCCTATATATATAATATCTCCTATTCCTCCTTCCTTCCTATATATATAATATCTCCTATTTATCCTTCCTTCCTACATATATCTCCTATTCCTCCTTCCTATATAAATATCCTGTTCCTCCTTCCTTCCTATATATCTCCTATTCTTCCTTCCTTCCTATGTATATCTCCTATTCTTCCTTCCTTCCTATGTATATCTCCTATTCTTCCTTCCTTCCTATGTATATATTCCAATATATCTCATATTCCTCCTTCCTTCTAATATATCTCATATTCCTACTTCCTTCCAATATATCTCATATTCCTACTTCCTTCCAATATATCTCATATTCCTCCTTCTTTCCAATATATTTCATATTCCTACTTCCTTCAAATATATCTCATATTCCTCCTTCTTTCCAATATATCTCATATTCCTCCTTCCTTCCAATATATCTCCTATTCCTTTTTCCTTCCAATATATCTCCTATCCTCCTTCCTCCCAATATATCTCCTATTCCTTTTTCCTTCCAATATATCTCCTATTCCTCCTTCCTTCCAATATATCTCTTATCCTCCTTCCTTCCAATCTCTTATCCTCCGTCCTTCCAATATATCTCATATTCCTCCTTCCTTACAATATATCTCATATTCCTCCTTCCTTCCAATATATCTCATATTCCTACTTCCTTCCAATATATCTCATATTCCTCCTTCCTTCCAATATATCTCATATTCCTCCTTCCTTCCAATATATCTCATATTCCTCCTTCCTTCCAATATATCTCCTATCCCTCCTTCCTTCCTATATATCTCATATTCCTCCTTCCTTCCTATATATCTCATATTCCTCCTTCCTTCAAATATATCTCATATTCCTACTTTCTTCCAATATATCTCATATTCCTCCTTCCTTTCAATATATCTCATATTCCTCCTTCCTTCTAATATATCTCTTATCCTCCTTCCTTCCAATATATCTCTTATCCTCCTTCCTTCCAATATATCTCTTATCCTCCTTCCTCCCAATATATCTCATATTCCTCCTTCCTTCAAATATATCTCATATTCCTCCTTCCTTCCAATATATCTCTTATCCTCCTTCCTTCCAGTATATCTCATATTCCTCCTTCCTTCCAATACATCTCATATTCCTCCTTTCTTCCAATATATCTCTTATCCTTCTTCCTTCTTATATATTTTCTACTTCACCCATCTAACTATAGCCTGAAATTAACGCATGCGCAGAACTAGGGAAAGCCACTAATGCACTTTATACCTACGAAACTTTAGGAAATTGACCCTTTCTCAAAACATTTACAAGATAATTTTCCATCAAAAAGATTTATTTCCAGAAATCTTTAAAATTTTTAGCAAAGATATTTAAAACTTGTTCTAAAAATGTTTGCAAAAAGTCTGAATTTGCGTAGATTTAAAGTTGTAGATCTCCGAATTGTGCGCAGGTCTAGTGTCTTGTACAGACATGAAGCTGGACTCCATATTTAGACTTTCTAGACAGAGAGCTCACACCGTTTACCGAGGTAACTTGTATACTCATTATATAATATATATATATCAACTTGTAATCCATGTCCAGTCGCTAGATTATTTCAAGAGAATACAGAATTTTTAGACAAGTAGAACCATTATTTAATAATTGATACAAAATGATGATAATGGTAATGCGACATTTAGTTGAATTCAGGCAATAGATGGTTATATGTAAATGTAATAATAATATATTCTGACTTTTGATGTAATTGTTATATTTGTTATATATATGTCAAACGATTATTACACGTTTAATTAAAGTAAATATTCAAGGTCCAAATATCAAATGTTTTTAAGCATAACTACTATATAATTTGTAACAATGTGCTTTTTCATACATTGGTGGGTAAATCTAAACTTGAGGAGCTACTATACTAGAACACAAAGTCGGTCCAGCATTGTCGCAAAAATTTGATATCATTATCTGTCTAGATTACCAAACATAAATAGATAAAACATTTCATAGACAGAGCAGATTTTTTTTTCAAATTTTTTTATCTTCATATTTTCCCCCCCCCCCCCCCACCTCAAGATCAAAAACGTAAGATCAAATTTAAAGTAAAATAAGTGGGGTTTTCAAAAACTTTTTTCTCAAAAACTTTCAGTTGCGAGCCTGATGGAGATACACTTCTTTTTCTATCTGAATACTGATCATGAGATTTATCGATAAATGCGAATTTCTTATTTTTACAGCAGATAATTTATTTTTTTGTCAGGTGTTGTCGGGAGCTGTAAAATTGTTGGTGTGAAGGGGATCTAGTCTGAGAGAGAGAGAGAGGGAGCGAGAGAAAGAGAGAGAATCCATTTTGTGACTGAAAAATCAAAATGTCGTCAGAGGAGGGATGTCGTCTTTTTGTCTATGGAGTGTCTGAAGGGACCCCAAATATTGAAATTCAGGTACTTTATAAACTAAATTGGGAACCCAGCTTTCCCTACCAATTAAATTAATTAAATTAATTAATTAATTTAATAATTTTTAAACCAAATTAAAAAAAAAAACATATTATCCTGATTGCTTTGAAAAGTTGCATCAAGTCTTGGCCTTTGATTTTACCTTTAAAGCTAACTTTACTTTTATTTACATTTTTGTAGCCCTTGAAATGAACATTTAAAAACTATGACGCACATTTTTGCTTTAGTTTGGGAACTATAAACAAAATTCTGGCCGTTTTGCACGTAATTGTTTGCAACCTTTGGTTCACTGTGACAAACGAACAGAGATTACGACTTTATATATAAATAGTAGATATTGGTTTTTTTCAAATCTAATATTTTTAGGTTGAATTTGAGAAGTTTGGTTTGGTTGTTGATACCTACAATACTGGGAAGGGTTACGCCTTCGTAACTTTCGATAACAAGGAAACAGTCTCAACATAACTTGTTCTGATTAAAACGTTTAAAGGGATTGTTCAAGTTTTTAAAAATAGGCATGATATCCCCATTTTTTCAATTAGGAAGAAAGCCAATTTAGCCATTTAAAGATGTCCCTAAGAGCCATGAGTTGGCAAATATATATTTAAATTCCTTGGTTTATTGGGACCAACTGTGTACTGTATGTATGTATAGTATCAAACATATTTTCCATTGAGTTCAATTATTTCTTTTTGAGTCAAGATTTGATAAAGAAAAAATATGGCCTCTTTGTCTGAAAATTTGATAAAGACATGGAATTGGATTTAAAACAATTCATTCTTCCAATTCAATTACAGTGTATTATTTTTACAATGCACTATACCTTATTTTCTTAAACGATGACGCAAGACATTTTAATTGAAGCTTTGCTCAGAACAAAACATTTTCTTGAAATAACTTTAAGATTTTTCACTCATTTCCTTTTACAAACCATTTGATTTCTCCTGGTTGAACCATGAAGTTATGAAAAGAAAATCATTATTTTTCTAGCTTTCATTATTACTTTCATAAAGGTGTGAATAATTATTAAATGAACTTAAAAGATTGCCTTAACAAATCTTTAACACTAATCTAATTATTAAACACGTTACTCGCATTTTTTGATACATTGAGACCCGAAACTGTGTAATTAGAAGACGACATTTAAGTGTAATAGAAGTTAATATGAAGCAAACATTTTTTACTATTAGCTTGAAAATTATCTTTTTAAGTTAAATTGGCCTGTTTTCACTGCCCAATTGTGGTGTTTCATTTTCATTGGACTATTCAAAATCACAATTTTAATCTGAAAGTCGTCTTCCTATTCCACAGTTTTATGAGGCTCACTTTAGCTTTTATATATGAAGTTTGGCTGAACTAGGAGGATGCAATTACTGCTACTACAGAAATGAACGGAGCCACAATATTCGGTCAATCGATTAAGGTATAATTTTTATACAACTAAATTTATCAAAAGATGAAACTAAATAAGTTTAATAAAAGTCCGTGCAGTCGTCTTTAAAATCCTTTTTTGGTTATTCTGCACAGTTCATTTAATATAAAGTTTATTTGATGAGACTAACATTTCTTTGTTATAACGAAGAATTAGGAATTGAGGCTTTCTCATAATCTCAAATTTTCTAATACCTTAGAAACCTGATGGTGTAAACCTTTAATATTTAAAACTTTATTTATTTGATCTAACAAAATCTTTAGTTTGAAATATTTAAGGTCTATGACGTCTCTGGTATATTTTAATTTATGTAAGACATGAATATTTGAATTTTTCAGGTTGATGTGGCCAAGGGTCGTGCCGGGGGTGGCGGAGGCGGCGGTGGTGGCAGGGGACGTGGCGGAAGAGGGCGAGGCGGATATGGGGATGGAGAAAGGCGTGGCGGTTATGGAAATCGCGACGGCGGTTACAGTGGCGGAAGAGGAGGCTATGGAGATGGAGAGAGGCGGGGAGGGTACGGGGACGGAGAAAGAAGAGGAAGTGAGTTGTTTTTGATAAATTTAAAGATTTTTTTATCTCAAAATCAAGTTGGACCTCAGAAATAATAATTTTACCATTTATATTTTCATTGTTTAAAATGCTTTATTGTTAACATTTTTACTAACCATCTTTCAATTCATTAATTTTTTATATTTTTGATTGTGTTTTTGACAAAAGGAAATGGTCAAATTCATGCGAAATTACTGGTGCGACTTTTTGACCTCGGGGCTCCTCTAGTTTTATTTTACGCAAAAGTAATAAGAAAACTTATCGTTAATATATTAGAAATTAAAAAAAAAAATTCTTCTTAACAGCTCTTCAATAGGAGGAGTTTAATATTAGTTTGGCGTGATTACATAATTTTAAACAAAACTTTGAAAAACATTTTTTAATGTATAAAAATCTAATATTATCTATTTCTACCAGGAGGCGGTAGAGGTGGCGGAGAGAGAGGCCGAGGTGGACCCCGTGGCGGAGGTAGAGGTGGATACGGGGGTGGAGAGCGTGGAGGCTATGGCGGAGGAGACCGAGGCTATAGTGGCGGAGACCGAGGCTATGGCGGAGTTGAACGTGGAGGTTACGGCGGAGGAGAGCGAGGCTATGGTGGTCGTGGCGGCGGAGGTAGAGGTTACGGTGGCGGAGAACGTAGCGGATACCGTGGCGGACAAAATGAATATTAAACCCTTCTTCACCCTTCTTCTCTTCTTTTCCCTTTACGTTAGACGGCTCCTCCATGATATAAACCTAAATGTATATTATTAACCCCACTGGATGTGTACATTTTGTACAATTGATTACATGTAACGGAACTAAGATGTGACGCAATTAAGAAATAACGGAACTATGTTGTAACGGAATTAGAATATAACGGAACTATGCTGTAACGGAACTAAGATAAAAACATTTATGTTGTAAAAGAAACTAAAATTTGTTTGTAAAATCTCTCGCTCTCTCTCTCTCTCTCTTAAAGACTGGAATTGACTGGTGGAGTTAAAACAATTCATGAAAGAAATCGCGTCGGGAATAATAATCAACACGCCATTACAAAACTGTCTCGAAAAAAAATATTTTAAACAATCCCTTGGCCTAAGTCTTTTTGTTAAGTAGTCAAAAGAATGACGTCACAATATCATCACGTAAACTTCCATTTTGTAAGGACTGTTTGCGGATTTACGAAGAAAAAAACCGTCCAGCTTTAATCCGCGAAAACATCCTACTTCCACTGTTTCAAACCTATACCACCTCATGTAGAGCCAAGTATTTAAAACTGCAATTATATGATAATAATAATTATGATTTAATTTAGTTTTTATCAAACTATTCTGCTACAAATGTAATTTTAGTACAAACCTTTCTTTTCACTCTTTTGTAGTCTTTGAAATAAATTCTATAGGAAACATGCTCAAATTATTTTTTTTTATTTTTAGCTTTTGTTTTGTGCAGGACTTTCGGTTTCACCCATTCATTACTATGGAACTTGATTTAGTTACAAGTATAACATTTTTGCAGATTTATTCCCTTGATAATAAGAAATTTGGTTTATGTTTTTTAACAAAAAAGCGTTTTTTTCTCAGATTTTACTTCGATTTTTTCATTGCTCACATTTTCTGTCGTGACTCAGAAATGCATATATTTTTTATTCAAACTACCTTTCAATTTTTGTATTTTTTATGTTATTATTTCAGACCGGGTCCCTTTAAGTGAGTCTCCAAGTTTATAAAACAGTTTTCCCATCCTTTATTGGAGGCAAGTGAAAATGTTGTTTTTTATTATTTTTATCGTAGGTTAAGTACAAATGTTGAAATTATAAAATACTCTCAACTTTATCCATTAAATTATTGTTGCTTGGTTATTAATAGTTTGAAATCAGACGAAAATCTGGAATACCTAAAAACTCAGAACAAAACACCACACTACAGATTTTTACACATAGATTAAAGAAATTAAATACTCCTTATACAGATGCATTATTCTAAAGAAAAAGAGGCTAAGCATATAGAAATCCTGGACCGGATTAAAGATTAACTGAATAAAATCCAACTAAGTAATTTTGGAAAAGAACTAAACACTCCGAAACCTAATTTCTAACTAATAAACGAAAACTTGACGCGAATGTTTAGTTTCTTGCTTTTTTCTCTAACCTTTTGATAACTGTGAAATAATATTTTTTTCATAATTATTCGGGTTGGTTAATTATGCAGCAAAACGAAAACATTTTTAAATTTACGAAAAGGTTTTTCTCACTTCAAACCTCCAATTCCTCCCTAAACAGGACAACCCCCTCACCAGGTTTAATGGGGGAATCTGTCAACACGTTACATTGGAACCTGACTAATATTAGAACCAGAACCAGAATCAGAATCAGAACCAGAATCAGAATCAGAACTAGAACTAGAACCAGAACCAGAACCAGATCCAGAACCAGAACCAGAACCAGAACAAGAACCAGAATCAGAACCAGAACCAGAACCAGAACTGTAACCAGAACCAGAACTAGAACTAGAACCAGAACCAGAACCAGAACTGTAACCAGAACCAGAACCAGAACTAGAACTAGAACCAGAACCAGAACCAGAACCAGAACCAGAACCAGAACTAGAACCAGAACCAGAATCAGAACCAGAACCAGAACCAGAACCAGAACCAGACCAAGAACCAGAACTTGAACAAGTACCAGAACCAGACCCAGAACCAGAACCAGAACCAGAACTAGAACTAGAACTAGAACTAGAACCAGAACCAGAACCAGAACCAGAACCAGAACCAGAACCAGAACTAGAACTAGAACCAGAACCAGAACTATCAGAACCAAAATTAGAATCAGAACTAAAAATAGTACCAAAACCAAAAGCAGAACGTGAATCGAACACACCAATCTATAAATGTGGGATGACTTGAAATTACTCCGCAGTCCCTTTAAATTCCCAGTTTTTTTATAAGAAAGGAGTGAAGGAGTGGGGTTGAGTAATACTAATAAAATGCGGAATATTGCATTGAATAGTTCTGTTCTTAGACTGTCTTGAATATTTAGTTCATAACACACTTTCTATTACTTAAAACAACTAAGAAACTGTGCTAGACTGTATTTGGAAATAATTTTCTGTAAAGTGATTATTGCCTTAATAACCATTGCTTTCTATTGGTGCATTTTAGAATAACTATAGCATTCAGGTCGCGTCACGCCCTATTTCTAGAAATCATTTTTGCCTCCACATATGTTGCTAGCTTTTAAGATGCTATTTTTTTACGTACTTCTTATAACTAAACATTTTGCGAAGTTTGTTGTTTATATAAATTTTCTTTAAATTTCCCCACAAAAAAAAATTTATTTGACATTTTTTCAAGGCAAAATTTTTTGATTTCGACAGGCCTTACACCTTCTCTGGTCGGATTCATATCAGTTACCACAAACAAAATTGGACCTGGTCGTTTCAGCTGCAAATTTTTATATATATGGATAATTTAAACTGTGAAAAAGGGTATTCTTGTTTTTAGTTTTTTTACCCTGAACGCCAAAAATATTATATTCTGAGTAGAACCATTAACAGCAAAAATGATTGGAAGAATTAAAAAAAAACAATTCTATGAAGTTCATTAAAATTTTATGAAAATGACTCAAGGAGTGCATGGTTGAGTGAGTCATTTTTATGTAAATGAATTTGCAGTCGATATATTTTTAAGTTTATATTATCAAAATAGGTTTATATAGAGATGAATAGATAAGTAAATTTGTAGCCAGATATAAATATATAAAAAGATGATATATATATATTTATATGGATGGATAGATAGATAGATAGATAGATAGATGGATAGATAGATAAAGAATAGGGTTGGTTCCCTCTAGAACTTTGCTCAGTTTATTCTATTCTGCGACAGTAGAATGTTGGCCTCCTTTACAGTGTGTATCTTTCTATCTATCTATCTATCAAATATCTATCTATCTATCAAATATCTATCAACCTATATTTCGGCAAAAAAAATTACCAAATTTATCAAATTAGATTTTTGTGTATTTTACATTATTTTACAATTTTGATGTCCTAAATGTCTGCATACTATTTAAATAAACCTTTTAAAGTATATTTCGCAAGGAATTCTTGAAGAAGAAGGATTAATATATATTTTCAATGGTTTTCATGGTTTTCCGGAATTCTGGAAAAGAAAAATTGTTTCCATTTTACAAATATTCCTGTCTAAAACAGACAGGCATTTACCGATCAAATTTTTAATAACTTAGTGAAAGAAAGAAAAATAAATTGTTTTTAATTGTAAAGCTCCCGATTATTAGATCAACATACAGATCCCTGTAGTTTTTGTACAGAGCTCCTTGTAGTACAGAGCTCCCTTTTGTACAAAGCTCCTTATTGTACAAAGCTCCTTATTGTGCACAACTCCCTCTTGTACAAAGATCTTTGTTGTACATAGATCCATGTTGTACAGAGCTCCCTGTTGTACAAAGCTTAAGTTACAGAGGTCCTTGTTGTACAGTTTCCTGTTGTAAAAAACTTTCTATTGTACAAAGCTATCTGTTGTACAGAGCATCCTGCTTTACAGAGCTCCGTGAGGATTGGAACTGTGCCCCCTCCACCCCCCCCCCCCTCCCCTTTTCTCTGTCAATGTTTGCTAATGTAAAGAGGGAAATATACACTAGGAATATAAAGGAAAAAAAGATCTGCCTTGGATGAATTCAGGGAGAAAATCAATTCGTCATTTTTTTCAGTTTTATGCTTTTTGAGAAGTTTCTTAACACCCGTTGGGACATTTCATAGAAAGACATGTCATAATAACAATATCATAGATGGGACAGCTCATAGATGAGACATTTCATAGATAGGACATTTCATAGATAAAACATTTCATAGATAGGACATTTCATAGATAAAACATTTCATAGATAGGACATTTCATAGATAAAACATTTCATAGACAGAGCAGATTTTTTTTTCAAATTTTTTTATCTTCATATTTTCCCTTCTCTATGAAAAATCTTCTCTGTCAGTTTTTCCAATTTTGTTTTCGGATTTTTAACAATTCACTGAAGCATTTTCATTTAACAAAAACTTTAAATTGACAGAAAGGTTTTTACATTTAAAAAAGTTGAATTTTTAGTTCTTAAAAAAATAAATAAAGTTTTTATTGTTTTTTGTAGCAATGTCTATGGGGAGCTTTGTATTTACATTTTTCATTGTCTTTGAAAAATCTAAGAAAAAAAATTTCGTAGATAAAAATCTCCTCATATGACAATGGAAAATCTTCTCTATCTATGAAATGTCCTATCTATGAAATGTTTTATCTATAAAATGTCCTATCTATGAAATGTCTCATCTATTTATTTGCCCTATCTATTAAATGCCCTATCTATGAAATGTTTTATCTATGAAATGTCCTATCTATGACTTGTCCTATCCATGAAATGTCCTATCTATGAATGTTCTTTCTATGAAATGTTCTATCTATGAAATGTCCTATGAAATGTCCTATCTTTGAAATGGCCCAAATCCCCTTGACGATAAACAATTCCCTCATGTTAATAAATCATTTTTTATTTCTTCTAATTAAAGAGATTAAAAACGAAAAAAAATTGGCGTTTTAATACGTTAATATTTAGTTAATTTTTTGCAAATATTTTAATTTTTTAATTTGTAAAACTTCTTATATTTTAATGGAACCTTTAAAAAGGCCAAACCAACTCAAAAATCAACCAATTTATTGCAAATAACTTATTTTGAGGTCTGTCGGCAACGTCTTGTATCAAATTCTCTTAACAAAAACATTGGATGAAAAAAAAGTAGAGCCATACAAGACATAACTTAAATTTTAATTTCATTTCAATTTAATTTTATGAATATTTTAGTAACTTTTAAAACATTAATCTCATTTTTAATAATGTTCTCTTTTTTAGCTTTACTATTTGTAATGTTACAGATAGTGAAATGCTTCAGTGAAAGTGAGATATTATCATTGTGAAGTGAGATATTTCCTTAGATTTAGAACGTTAATAGAGACAGTTTCAGAAAAAGGTAAAAATTCATAATAAAAAACTTTTCTTAAATTTAAGAACAGTTGTACACTTTAAAATAAAAAACAACACTCGTACGTTACTGACAGCGAGACCCATAAAACTGTGAAATATGAGACGACGTTAAAGCAATAATATTATGTGTGCATGATTTTGTCATAAATTAAATAGTTTACTGCAGTACCAGTACCTTAAAAATGAAGTCAAACATTATAGAAACCCAACGTTATAGCATACAGGCGTATTTTGCGGGAGAATATTTTTTATATTTTAGAAAAAATTAAACTTTTTTGTAGTAATTGTACCTAATCATTATCATTATCATTATTTTTTTAACATACTCTGGACATTAAAGGAGCGAAATAGTTTAGTGATTTTT